TATACACACACACACACACACACACACACACACATATATATATATATATATATATATATATATATATATGCATATGAGTTGCTGTTCACTGCAAGTTATTTTGATGAGATTTGCTCACTGTTACTCGCTGATTAGTGGAATTGTCTGTACAGCATCATGGGTACTATAGTTTTTTGCCACAAATTCAGCTGTTAAACAGTTATTTTAAAAAGAAGTGAATGGATGGCTTCAACAAAAACATATACTGTACCATCGATTAACAACCTTGAATCTCACAGTAGTTCTGTCTTTAAAGGTTTATAAGTTATCATCAAAATCAGTTGTTCTATGGAGAAAATGAACAAGTTTTTTCTTCTTGAACCCAACTATTGCACGCTATAATTTATAATATTATTTTTGCATCTATTGGGGTTCAACATGCCCTCAACTTAGACTTTCTGGTAAAGCTAGTTGACCTTGGTTGTCTTCCTGGTGAAGCAGCCTACAGCGAGCACGTTTTTTAATGCACTGTCTGATATTGATCCTAATGGAAAATGCTCAAGCAGGTTTATTGAGTGTTTTCTGTCAGGATCAGTATCATTATCAGGTAAATGCACCTTCAGGGAGCTTATGCTGTCTTTGAACTGGGCATTCAGCACTAGCAGCACCAAATAAAATAATGACATTTCACACTTCCTCAAATTCACACCATTGGTTGATCCAGTGTTATATCCTGCCCATTTGGGCTACTCAAACAAGCAGATTGCAAACCAACTGAATGTTTTTACATTTCTCTTTATAATCATCATTTTTGTAAATCAGTCCTGCTGCTGCATAAACTTCACTGCATAAATCAATTAATTTTATGAACTTTTCTCCTGACGTACTATATAATTTAAGTACTTCTGCTAATATATTGCACTTATATTTTGCTTTTTTTCTTTAAAATTTTATTGATTATTGATTATTTTCCCTTTATGTTTGTACCGTGAATATATGAATTGTTACCCTTTATTTGCATTCAAATGTGTTTTCTTTTATTAAATACATTTCATATCTAAGTTTATATTACAGTTTTAATATGTAATGATTAAATTGTTGTTAATTTTATGCAAGAGCAGATAAGATAAGCTTATTTGGAGCCGCAGTCTAGGCACTTTTTTCTCACGGTTAGAAAACTGCTTGATGTGTCATTTCTACTAAATAAAAATATGCAAATAATATGACTTTTTTTAATTGAACAAATATAATGCATGAGCATTGAGTGATCTGTATTCATGTAACTCGTGTTATGTTGTATTTGTGGGTATATTAACGGTGCTATAAGCAATCTTAGCCAGATTCTGACTTCCAACAGGCATAAACCATCCAAATCCTGCCCTCCAAAGACATGTGAGCAAACCTGAACATGACTGACAGGCAGAAAGCGCCTCAAAGTCCTGTCATCGGCTAAACAGTAATGTTACATCACTGACATTGATTTGTTTTCTGCATGCTATTCCATAAGGAAATGCTTATAGCACAGTTTAAAAACAGATTCTAACTCTTCTAACACGGCTGAGCCATTTTGTTTAAACATGCATATGAAGTCTGAGCAGATGTACTAACTCTGGAATTATTTAAATAAAGTTTAAAAAATCCATTCATGCTATGTTTACATCATTCCAGAACGATTCACGGCATTGTTAGACACGCATATGCGTGACCTTAAATCATGCTAAACCTTCAGCAATATTTATGACCCTCTTCCTTACTAGAAAATAAATGATGGACTACAAAATCATACATCTTAATCTATAAATACAAAAGACACTGTCACTCGGCTGCTCGCTGTATATGTCATTGTCAGCGGATGTATATTAGGCCTGTGCAGGGCCGTCGCTATAATTCACAAGAGTCCGTAGGCTTTAGTGGGCCTCCTTCATTATGAAACATTCCTCCTCTTTCTCTGATGACGACAATTGTTTTCTTAATATGTGATTAACTTGATCTGTGCTGCATGGTGAAATGATCATCCATCTCTCTGTTTTTTGGCATGCATTTGATAGGCGAACCACTTTTTCTATGGCGCAGACACGTAGGAACCGACGTGAGAGGGGGTGACAGAGTAAAGCACAAGGAGCTGCTCGGAAAAAGTTGTCCACAATGAATTTTCAATGAGAGGGCCGAGCGGACGGAGAGCAGGCACAGTCCCACGAAACTGGCCAAAATGTGGAGTATGTATGTGACGTGTGGAGGCAACGGCCCGTGTCGCCTCGGAGTTTACAAAAGAACAAATCCTTGTTTAGTAAGTCTTGACTTTTTAAGATTATACAGACATTGATTTTTTAGCAATTCATGTGTTTCAGGCTTTTGAGGTTTTAATATTTTAATACTGGATGTTTAGTGGGGAATTCACATAATGAGAAAGACAACATTTATGTGTCTACTCAAATGCTTTTAATTACTTTTTTAGTGATGGATGATGATGATGTTATGCTTATGGTCATCTCTTTTTTATCTATGATCTAACCAGCTGGGATGAGCTATTAGTGTACAAGTTTGCTGACTCAGTTTTGCTCATTTCGTCCCAGCATATCTAATAATAAATGAAGGAACTAGTGCGTTTTTTCCCGATACAACCCTAGATGGATCAGTCATTGCACAATCAAACTTTTAGCTATGAAACACAGCATTGTCATGTGTAGTAAAGTGTATTGCACGCCATTGTGAAAGTGATGAATTTCCTACTTTCGGGGGGTTCTGCGCTGAACGTCAGGGATTTTCCGTGATTTTAGCTACTGAATGAAGAATATAGGCCTATCCGAAAGACTGTATTACATTCAACCTGGAAAGTCGAGATTTTCAAATTCTGATTTGGAAAAGTGCAACTGAACTTGCAGAAAATGCTGATTTGGCCAAGATGGCAAAGCATGACATCATGCAAACAGAGACTGACATAGCCCATGATAGATGTTCAATTTCAAGCAAATAAAATGCACCAATCCATCAAAGCCGGTGATAATAAAAGCGCTTTAGCAAACGTTTGCAAAGGCAGGAGTGTAAAACACTGTAAATGATCCTCAGGTGATAAGCGTACACCTGTAGAATAAATGCTTGCATTGAACAGCATCGTTTATCCACCACAGTTTGGTTGCTAGGAAATGTCTTTGTTGACAATCGGACATCTGCAAAGTTAATGCCGCCTGTATTGGTGACATGTATTGTGAAACACACTACGAACCGCTTGTATCACTCCAAAGAGAAAGGAAAACTTGAAATTGCATCATATGACCCCTTTAAAGCACTATAAGCTGTGAATCAAACCAACCAGCTATGAGGGTGATTCACAGCATTACAAACTTTAATTTGAAACAAAATAATTAAAAAATGAGACAAAAAGGTACAAGATTTAACTTGCTGTCTTTGAACTGGGCATTCAGCACTAGCAGCACCAAATAAAATAATGACATTTCACACTTCCTCAAATTCACACCATTGGTTGATCCAGTGTTATATCCTGCCCATTTGGGCTACTCAAACAAGCAGATTGCAAACCAACTGAATGTTTTTACATTTCTCTTTATAATCATCATTTTTGTAAATCAGTCCTGCTGCTGCATAAACTTCACTGCATAAATCAATTAATTTTATGAACTTTTCTCCTGACGTACTATATAATTTAAGTACTTCTGCTAATATATTGCACTTATATTTTGCTTTTTTTCTTTAAAATTTTATTGATTATTGATTATTTTCCCTTTATGTTTGTACCGTGAATATATGAATTGTTACCCTTTATTTGCATTCAAATGTGTTTTCTTTTATTAAATACATTTCATATCTAAGTTTATATTACAGTTTTAATATGTAATGATTAAATTGTTGTTAATTTTATGCAAGAGCAGATAAGATAAGCTTATTTGGAGCCGCAGTCTAGGCACTTTTTTCTCACGGTTAGAAAACTGCTTGATGTGTCATTTCTACTAAATAAAAATATGCAAATAATATGACTTTTTTTAATTGAACAAATATAATGCATGAGCATTGAGTGATCTGTATTCATGTAACTCGTGTTATGTTGTATTTGTGGGTATATTAACGGTGCTATAAGCAATCTTAGCCAGATTCTGACTTCCAACAGGCATAAACCATCCAAATCCTGCCCTCCAAAGACATGTGAGCAAACCTGAACATGACTGACAGGCAGAAAGCGCCTCAAAGTCCTGTCATCGGCTAAACAGTAATGTTACATCACTGACATTGATTTGTTTTCTGCATGCTATTCCATAAGGAAATGCTTATAGCACAGTTTAAAAACAGATTCTAACTCTTCTAACACTACAAGATTTAACTTTACAAGACTTTATAGAGGGAGAACTACCATGAAGCATTGTGAATTACATAATCAAATTTAAAATGGTGGAGAAATATAAAACTATTAATTTAATGTTGAAACAACATATTTAAAATGTATTACAAAATATGCATATATATATATATGTCATCGGCTAAACAGTAATGTTACATCACTGACATTGATTTGTTTTCTGCATGCTATTCCATAAGGAAATGCTTATAGCACAGTTTAAAAACAGATTCTAACTCTTCTAACACGGCTGAGCCATTTTGTTTAAACATGCATATGAAGTCTGAGCAGATGTACTAACTCTGGAATTATTTAAATAAAGTTTAAAAAATCCATTCATGCTATGTTTACATCATTCCAGAACGATTCACGGCATTGTTAGACACGCATATGCGTGACCTTAAATCATGCTAAACCTTCAGCAATATTTATGACCCTCTTCCTTACTAGAAAATAAATGATGGACTACAAAATCATACATCTTAATCTATAAATACAAAAGACACTGTCACTCGGCTGCTCGCTGTATATGTCATTGTCAGCGGATGTATATTAGGCCTGTGCAGGGCCGTCGCTATAATTCACAAGAGTCCGTAGGCTTTAGTGGGCCTCCTTCATTATGAAACATTCCTCCTCTTTCTCTGATGACGACAATTGTTTTCTTAATATGTGATTAACTTGATCTGTGCTGCATGGTGAAATGATCATCCATCTCTCTGTTTTTTGGCATGCATTTGATAGGCGAACCACTTTTTCTATGGCGCAGACACGTAGGAACCGACGTGAGAGGGGGTGACAGAGTAAAGCACAAGGAGCTGCTCGGAAAAAGTTGTCCACAATGAATTTTCAATGAGAGGGCCGAGCGGACGGAGAGCAGGCACAGTCCCACGAAACTGGCCAAAATGTGGAGTATGTATGTGACGTGTGGAGGCAACGGCCCGTGTCGCCTCGGAGTTTACAAAAGAACAAATCCTTGTTTAGTAAGTCTTGACTTTTTAAGATTATACAGACATTGATTTTTTAGCAATTCATGTGTTTCAGGCTTTTGAGGTTTTAATATTTTAATACTGGATGTTTAGTGGGGAATTCACATAATGAGAAAGACAACATTTATGTGTCTACTCAAATGCTTTTAATTACTTTTTTAGTGATGGATGATGATGATGTTATGCTTATGGTCATCTCTTTTTTATCTATGATCTAACCAGCTGGGATGAGCTATTAGTGTACAAGTTTGCTGACTCAGTTTTGCTCATTTCGTCCCAGCATATCTAATAATAAATGAAGGAACTAGTGCGTTTTTTCCCGATACAACCCTAGATGGATCAGTCATTGCACAATCAAACTTTTAGCTATGAAACACAGCATTGTCATGTGTAGTAAAGTGTATTGCACGCCATTGTGAAAGTGATGAATTTCCTACTTTCGGGGGGTTCTGCGCTGAACGTCAGGGATTTTCCGTGATTTTAGCTACTGAATGAAGAATATAGGCCTATCCGAAAGACTGTATTACATTCAACCTGGAAAGTCGAGATTTTCAAATTCTGATTTGGAAAAGTGCAACTGAACTTGCAGAAAATGCTGATTTGGCCAAGATGGCAAAGCATGACATCATGCAAACAGAGACTGACATAGCCCATGATAGATGTTCAATTTCAAGCAAATAAAATGCACCAATCCATCAAAGCCGGTGATAATAAAAGCGCTTTAGCAAACGTTTGCAAAGGCAGGAGTGTAAAACACTGTAAATGATCCTCAGGTGATAAGCGTACACCTGTAGAATAAATGCTTGCATTGAACAGCATCGTTTATCCACCACAGTTTGGTTGCTAGGAAATGTCTTTGTTGACAATCGGACATCTGCAAAGTTAATGCCGCCTGTATTGGTGACATGTATTGTGAAACACACTGTATACAGTAAATAAAAATTACTTAACGGTACACACTTAGGCTCCAAAAGGGGTAGAAGATCCATTTTTAGTTCCCCAAAGAACCTCAGTGAACAGTTCTTAAAATGACCCTTTTTTCACATTTTAATAAACAAAGGTTATTTATTGGCATTCAAGGCTCCATGAAGGTACTTTAAAATCATGGAAACATTCCATTGCAAAAAAGTTTCTGTTTAGGGGAAAAAGGTTCTTTAGATTTTTACAAAAATTGTTCTTTTAAGAACTGTTCACTGAAAGGTTCTTTGAGGAACCAAAAATGGTTCTTCTCCTTTTAGAACCTTTATTTTAAAGAATGTAAACAATCTTTCTTTCCACTATAAGGAATGCAAAGATTCTAAAGATTCTTTGTGGAACCAATAAGGAACCCTTATATTTAAGAGTGTTGCCATTCCAACTTTAAGGTCAGAGATTTCAAGCAAGACATCCAAAACATCAAACTCTGGATGAAATACAGCATCATTCCAAACCTTATCCTCTTTTTAAATACACTTTCGATTCAGGGGATGTTTTGGGATTGTAAATGTAGTCACATGGTTTGCTTTGAGAGGTTGTAGTCTTGATGCCGAGTGTTAAAGTGAAGGAGAGACCAGACTGACTCATTGCCCTCCCAGTCACACTCACACAAGCGCACACCCATCATCTTTAAACACATCTCCCACACACCCTGAAGGAGTATAAATCCCGATAAGACGGCATAGACTTGCTCACATGTACACATACAGCACCAGAGACTGTGCACGAGGAGCACGCCAGGTTGGATCCAGTCCACATTTATTAATTTTCCCTTTATCAGTCTTCAATATTGAAAATGGAAAGCAAACAGTTGGTGCGGAAGCTGTCAGCAGATAGACCCTAGTCTTTATTGAAAAACAAGAGAGAGTCAATACAGAAGCACAGCCGAGAGGTCCAGTGTGCTTTGCGGTGAGTTCACCTTTTTGTCTCAACATTAGAGCAGGGATGGTTTTAAGAGTTGTAAAAGAGTTCCCTTATTGCGTTATTGCCACTTTTTGATGCTTGCTTGCGTTTTCATAAAGCGTTTAAATACTTCCTTTAGACGTATCCCTGTAATAACTGCTAATTCTGGTCACAATGTGTCATCATCAGGCCATTCTGTGCTTAATTTGGAGGATAATCTTTGGGAATTCTGTGCAATGCAACGCAATTTAAACAAAGTAAAACATGTTGAACGGAGCCAAGAGTTCTACACTTTTAAATCATCATATTCGCCAAAATATTTATGCAAGGAGTTGGGGATGTGTTGATCTTTGGCAGAGTTTTCTGTGGGCGCAGATTCCAGGCCTGGTCATCATATACAATAGTTTTATAGAGTCTAGTTATTGTTTTACAGTTTGTATACCATCACAGTGAGCTCTGTTTGATCTACATCAAGGGTGTCCGATCTTGCTCCTATAGGTCCACTGTACTGCAATCCTTAATAAACATTTACAATTTGTCAAGTCAAATTTATTTGTATTGTGCTTTTCACAATATGCATTGTGTCAAAACAGCTTTACAGAAAGTCGTAGTGTGATGTCTATAATTCCTTAGTGCTTTACCATAATGCAAGTTTTAGGGCTGGGCGATATGGTAGTATAAAATGATTATACAAGTGATCCTCCAGAGTTTAGATCTAGCTATATTGTATTTATAGTGTTGTCTATAGCACACATATCTGTGCTGCAGTGGTCGCTTCTTATGAGCTTCACTTCTGAGCATTCAAAGGCAAATAAGTAATTTAAAGGTTGGTCGGTTTTTGATATTTAAATATTAGTTGGTTTTGTTCCATTAAGAGATTTAAATATTGGTTGTTTTGTTCTATTTAGAGATTTAAATATTGGACAGATTTTTTTTCATAGAGAAATTTTAAATATTGGTTGTTTTTGTTCTGTTGAGAGATTTAAATATTGGCCGTTTTTGTTCCATTAAGAGATTTAAATATTGGTCAGATTTGTTCCATTAAGAAATTTTAATATTGGTTGGTTTTGTTCCATCGAGAGATTTAAATATTGGTCAGTTTTGTTCCATTAAGATATTTAAACATTGGTCAGTTTTGTTCTATGGAGAGCTTTAAATATTGGTAATTTTTGTTCTATTAATATATTAACATATTGGTACATTTTGTTATTTGAATAGATTTAAATATTGGTCGGTTTTGTTCTGTTTTGAGATTTAATATTATTTGGTTTTGGTCCATTAAGAGATTTAAATATTGGTTGTTTTGTTCTGTTAAGACACTTAAGTATTGGTCAGTTTTGTTTTATTTAGAGATTTAAATATTGGTCAGTTTTGTTCAAAGCAAGATTAAGCGATTCTCAAAAAGTACACTCTAAAAAATGCTGGGTTAAAGTTTGTCCCTTTTTAACCCAGCGCTGGGTTATATTTAACCCAGCATTTTTTAGTGTATTAACGAAAATAAGATCAGATGTCGCAAATGAAACATCTGATACTTGGGCACATTCAGGAGAAAGTTTTTAAGGGATTTAGTCTATGGTTGCTTTTGTCGTAAGCGAGAGTAAACAATTTTCTAGAAAGCGCCATAGAAGATACGATTGGTCATCTGAAGAAAAAACTAGCCAGTTATAAAACAGTCTAATGTGAGTTTAACCTTTTTCAAATTTAATTAGAAGTCATTTAAGCAAAACAATGTTAATTGGTAATGACTAAGAATCTTTAGGATTACTAGAAACGTCCAGGCAAGTGTGTTGGGGAGTCCGGTCCTCTAGGAGCAGGACTGGACACACCTTGATCTATATTGCTGATATTTTTCATGATTTTAACACTGCATCAAATTTCCAGGACTGAAACGTCCAGCTCTACTGAGGCCTCCTTCTCCTGTGGACTGTATGGAACACAGCAACCATGCAACACTGCGATTATTATCTGTGCCTCACCATCTACATCGTCACCTTCATCACCGGCTTCCCGGCCAACGTCTTGGCCTTCTACACACTCAGCCGCAAGATTTGGAGAAAGCCGGCACCCATCGACATCCTCCTCCTCAACCTGATCATCTCAGACTTGCTCTTCCTCATCTTCCTCCCCTTTAAGATGCAAGAAGTGGCCAATAATATGGTGTGGAATATCCACTACTTTCTATGTCCGCTGTCTGGTTTTGTCTTCTACATGACCATCTACAACAGCACCTTCTTCTTGACCGCGGTGAGCGTGGAGCGGTACCTCGGCGTGGCGTTTCCAATCCAGCACTCCCTGTGGAGAAGACCCATCTACGCCGTGTTCGCCAGCATCTTCATCTGGGTGTTTTCCATCCTCCATCTCAGCATCGTCTACATCGTGCCCTTCTACAACCCATCCGGGACGGTCCAGCCATCCAGGAACGTCTGTTACGAGGGATTCACCAACGCTCAACTCGAGATCCTCTTGCCCGTACGCTTGGAGTTGTGCATTGTCCTCTTCTGCGTTCCCTTACTTATTTGCAGCTTCTGCTATATAAACTTCATCCGCATTCTTTCGAGGCTGCCAAACATCGGCCGGCGGAGAAAGCTGCGGGCGATTGGATTGGCTTTGGGAACGTTGTTGGTGTTTGTGCTCTGTTTTGGACCCTACAACGTCTCCCATGTTGTCGGCTTCATAACCAAGTCAAGCCCTGCTTGGAGAGACAAAGCTCTTCTTCTCAGCACGTTCAATGCTTGTTTGGACCCGATTATTTTTTACTTCACCTCTGCGGCTGTTAGAAACACACTTGGGGCGATGGTGAGGGGCATTTGGGGTAGATGTTGGTGTCCACAAATCCTATGGAGCTCCAGGAAGGAACCTCCTAAAACTGAGAAAAACAGTCTCCCGAAGCCACAGGAGATCACGAACGCACTTTGACCAATGGTTTTTCATTTAGGCCAGGGAACGACCGTGCAATTATTTTTTTGTACGCAAATGCAGCATGGTAAACATTACTCCACTTCCTTGTAAGACGGAGGCGACAAGGAATGCCAAAACAACACAACTCGCGTGTAGTAAGAAAAGGAAAACACTGTAACCAAACCTGTGTACATAGAGACCGAATTAAACAAACAAACAGTCGGCAAACAGAGGATAAACTTCCTTTTGTATAGTGTGTTTATTCATCCATAGTGTGAGTAGCTCATCTTTATAACAAACTTGTCATTATTCACTTTATTGAATATGAACAGACAGCAGTATGAGGACATTGATCATCGGGATAAACGATCCACAGCCGTCGGCCGTATGAAGGTCAACAGAAGCGCCGCTCTCAAGCACGTCACATAAATATTTGAAAGGTTTTCCCTTCTAAAGGCCGACGCTTATCTGGAAACTGACAGTGTGGTTTTCTGATGGTTTGTGTACGTGTTTGATGGAGGGTGCATGATAGAGACGACTTCTTTTGAAGTTTCCAGGAAATGGCAAAACTTGCACCACAGAAATGAATGGTGAAAGAAATGAAGAAAATTAGCTCTGCAGTAATTCCTGATTGATTTAAAGATGAAGTGTGCCGTTATTTTGATGTTAAAATGCTTGCTTTTCATGTTAAAATAAGTAAGCCAATTTATAGATCGATTCCCCTGAAGTGTTAAGACCCATGTGGCCAAAATAAATAAATAAAAATTAAATGTCTTTAAATATATTTCAAAATACAAACAAAAAATATAAATATATATTTTTTAATTTTTTTATATCTATTTTCAAAAGCATTTAAAATGTTATTTTATTTATTATAATATTATTTATTTCAAGAAAATGTATTCACATAAAAATAATATTACAATTATAATTTTTTATATATTTATTATAATATAAATATATAAAAATCTAACATTAAAAATCTATATAAAAATAGATTTAAAAAGATTATAAAAATCTAACATTAGTAAATAAAATAATAAACAAATGAATAAATAATTGAATCATAAAAACTTGAAATATTTTTAAATGTATATACACACACACACACAAACACACACACACACACACACACACACTGGAAACACACACACACACACACATATATATATATATATGTATATGTGTGTGTGTGTGTGTGTGTGTGTGTGTGTGTGTAGAATTTTTTGTCTCTAGCTTCACATATATTTAGCATATTTTGGCCAGAAAAAAAATATTGAGTGGTGAAAACATTGCATTCTGAGTGTTTTGTGCAAAGTTTTTTGAAAACAAATTATTTTAGCATCAAAACTGCAAAAATAACGACTAAGTCAGTCAGTTAATAGATCAGTTGACTTTTTTGACACTTTCAGGATATTGTATCCCTGTGTTTGAAAATTTTAACCCTATTTTGGCAATTTTGTCACTAGTAGCACAAACTCCACCTTTAAATGCATTATTTTTATATGTAAATAATGAAAATGTGACTGTATTATTATTGTGCATATTGTTCCAAAGAAACTGCACAAAGTGTCATTTAATAAAACATTAACTGTATTATAATATTACAGCAAGACTGTGCCAAATGTTTAAATCATCTGGTGTCTTTCTTCATCCTAGGTTGTCATAAAATGTTTATGGCATATTTCCTCTCAGTCCATAATAACTATTAACCACTAATCTCATGTCTCTGTTATAAACGCGACAAATATTTGCAAAGGGTTATTGTCTTTGACTACCGAGCTGGGCAGGAGAGTACATACAGATCCAGGAGCACGTGAAGAGACGGGAAAACACTCGAATGTTTGGCTAGTTCCTCATAAAGCATCATTCAGGAAACACGTTGATATACACAATTATTGCTCCAGTTTGGAGGCGAACTCTGTAACAATAAAGAGCGAGGTGGAAGGGTGTTTGACTCAACACATATACAGAAGTGATCTGGTGTATTTTCTCTCAATTCACGTCAGCTAGTCTCACAATAGCCAGACGTTTGACTGCCGGCATAAATTCTGGCCCATATTAGAGCTTATCTGGGCCAACTCATTCAGAATATGTCAGTCTCCATGAACAGATGTACATACAAATATGTGTGCACTTCTGGCTGTGGAATAATCAGTACTTATTACATTAAGACAGCCATAAATTCTGATTAAAGTGGAATATACTCATAGTTTGTGTCCTCCTAAGTACCTCAAACAAATTTTATTATATATATATATATATGTCTCTCCGTTTATTATTTATTTCTTATTTGTTTGTTCATTATTTTATTTTTTTATTTAAATTAATTTCATTTCATTTCACTCCAGGAAGTGGATTCAGAACTTTCTCAATAGAATTCTTACTCAATCTTTATTATTATTATTATTATACATCAGGAATTAAATTCACAAAACATTCTTAATACAATTCTTATCAAATCCCACTTTTTTTTTTTTTTTTTACATTTTCTAACTGAAGAATGTATTTTATATTTAATGCATTTATTGGGTTGCTTCAAATAATTAATATTAAATACTACTTATATTACTAATACAAGATTTTATTTCTATAATCTATCAAGTAAATTCTGATATTACAGTTAATTTTATTAACTGAGAATCACTTTACATTAAATAAATGATTGGCAGGTGGTTGCTAAAAAAAGGTTAAAAAATGGACAAATACTTAAGATTTACCAGTGTATTAGACAAGGCAACCTCAAATGATCATCAGATATCTTTCTTACGAAAGAATTATTACGAATTATTAAAAAATGTATGGGAACTTTTCAAGAACTGCACAAGAAGTTCATAGAAACGTTCTTAACATTTTTCGGTAACACTTTATTTCGATGGTCCCTTTTGAGCATTCTGTTGACAATCAGTAACTTTGCGCCTACATGACAACAAACTCTCATTAGAGTGTTAGTAGACTGTCTGATTAATATCTGCTAACTCTTTATTATGATGGTGTCCCAACAAACATTCTACAGACTATAAGTAACTTTTCAAGTAAATGTCAACTTATTCTAACCCTACCAGTCTACTAATGCTCTACTAACAGTCTAATGAGAGTACTTATGAATGCAACGTTACTTATAGTCAACAGAATGTGTTAAAGGGACCATCAAAGTAAAGTGAAACCCATTTTTCTTGTGAATCCAACTCCAGAACATTAATGCATGCGTGTGTAAACTGTGGAGTTATAAAAAGTCTCATTTCACAGACACATCAAATGTTATCTGTATATGAGCATCTGATTTAACCGAACTTATCTGGGATCTCATTTACACCAGTTCTGTTTAATACATCTAATATTCTTTAACGTTTCTGCCCCGCACAAGATTCATAATGCTGTCAACTTTATTTCCGGATCTAACCGCTATACATCAAATAAACGATTTCCATTTTCTCACAACTACCATCTCCAATATTACCTTTCCACCTGCAGTAATAAATACACTCAGCCTGGAAATGTCTCCAATTTTGAGCCTATTCAAGCATCCAGTCACCTCAGTGGGTTTTGATTCTAAAAAACTCAAGGTCTGAGTGTGTGAAGGACTTTCAGGAGCTGAAGAGATGAATTATAGTAAAAGGTGACTTAATATCCATATGCCTATGGAACAATGAGTTTCTATGAGTCATCTCAGGTTAGACCAGAAATAAATGCAATAAAATACTGTTACTGTGAATTGTGACGTAGCTAATCTCTGCTCATCCAGCAACAATTAAACTCCTTAAAGGAACAGTTGAAAATGTTAAAGGAACGAACGAAAATTTGTTGAAAATGTACTCACCCTGAGGTCATCTGAGATGTAGGTGAGTTTGTTTCTTCATCAGATTTGGAGAAATGTAGCATTCCATCACTTGCTCAGCAATGGATGCTCTGCAGTGAATGGGTGCCGTCAGAATGAGAGTCCAAACAGCTGATAAAAACATCACAATAATCCACAAGTAATCCACAACACTCCAGTCCATCAGTTAACATCTTGTGAAGTGAAAAGCTGCATGTTTGTAAGAAACAAATCCATCAAGATGTTTTAACTACAAACCGTTGCTTCTGGCTAAAACATGAGCCCATAATCCATAATATAGCATCCTCCAGTGAAAAAGTCGTCTGGTCTGAATCAGGAGAGAAATCTGCACTGTTTACAAGTGAAAACAGTCTAAAATCGCTCTAAACAAATATGTGGCTGGATTTTGATGTGAGAGACAACAGGAGATGGACTTTTTCACTGGAGGAAGCGTTATTATGGACTCCTATTTTAGCCAGAAGCAAGGGTTTAAAGTTAAAAATGTCTTAATAATGGATTTGTTTCCTCAAAACATGCAGCTTTTGTCTTCTCCAGATCTTAACTGATGGACTGGAGTGCTGTGGATTATTGTGATGTTTTTATCAGCTGTTTGGACTCTCATTCTGACGGCACCCATTCACTTCAGAGGATCAGTTGGTGAGCAAAGGATGGAATGCAACATTTCTCCAAATCTGATGAAGAAACATCTGAGATGGCCCAAAGGCGAGTCCATTTCAGCAGATTTTCTTTTTTGGGTGAACTGTTCCTTTAAACTCATTTCCTGTGACAGTGGCGGTGACAAGCATTTGTGTTTTTAGGGTCAAACTCTTTCTGTGTGGATCTGGGAATTGCCATCTTGTCCACTGACAGACCTTGGCAAGCAATGCGACGTCCGGCGAAGTCTTTTGTCAGTGGATGACACACAGCAGGCTCCTCTCAGCTGTGTTTGGATTAGTGGGAACCTGTAGGAGAAAATGGGCTCTGGAGGGTCAGCTGGAGCAAGCCAAAGATAAACACAAACGCGTTCACAGCGGGAAAAACTGCAGAAGTTGAGCATCCTCCGCCGCTTACGTAACTGCTGATTAAATATCGTTGGCTAATTCGTTGATGCTTTCAGCTAGTACAGTGCTTTTGGATCCATTGTACCATATTTAAATAGATTTTGCAGATTTTCCCTCACAATCAAGTCTCCAGGGGTGTT